CAATGGAAACGCAACACCCTAATTTTAGGGGTGAAAATTATATACGGGATATAACTATGTACCAAAAAAGTTAAGAAATCTTTTACTTTGCCAAATCAGTTATTTAACGGTTGAATGATTTTCATTCCATTACCGGAAGTTGATTTTTTAGCTCCCTGATCAGAAATCAAAAATGAGCATTTTTAATAAAATTATTGACAATATTTTGGGGTTTCAAGGTTTTGTACCTGTTAATTATAAGTCTTGTACACAAAGTCCGGAAAAAATATCCTTCTTTTACTTCCGGATGTGATGCCTGTATTTCCTCAAAGTAACTGAAAGCACGCATTTTCATTGCTAATGTTGAAAATTTTCAAATTAAAGAAAAGGGAGATCTACAGATGCAAATATACACTACATAACGACTTTTCGGGCTTATGTGTTTCAAAAGCATGAATGACAGATCCTTGACCGGAAGTCCAAGGGTTACTACACTACGCCAAATTAGAGAAAATTCGACCTCAGTATCTGAAAAACAGGCATTTAAAAAAGGAAAGAATATTTATTTCGCTCAGATTAAGACATTGATAAACTTAATGCATGGTAGAATTCGGGCTGCTTATGCTGTACATGGCGGACTAGCACGTTTTAATTGAATGGTCGGAAGGGGGGATGTTTTAAAAGTTATGTGTTACTTTCTAAGGTCTAAAGATAACATTTAAAGATAAATGAAGTATCATTGTTTTGTAAATTTACTTTTTAAATTTATGTATTCATTCCTAATCTTATCTTTAAACCTTATAAAGTAACACATAACTCTAAAACATCCCCCATTCAATTAAAACGTGCTAGTCCGCCATGTACAACATAAGCAGCCCGAATTCTACCATGCATTAAGTTTATCAATGTCTTTATCTGAGCGAAATAAATATTCTTGTCCTTTTTTAAATGCCTGTTTTGCAGATACTGAGGTCGAATTTTCTCTAACTTGGCATAGTGTAGTAACCCTTGGACTTCCGGTCAAGGAACTGTCATTCATGCTTTTGAAACACATGAGCCCGAAAAGTCGTTATGTAGTGTATATTTGCATCTGTAGCTCTCCCTTTTCTTTATTTTGAAAATTTTCAACATTAGCAATGAAAATGCGTGCTTTCAGTTACTTTGAGGAAATACAGGCATCACATCCGGAAGTGAAAGAAGGATATTTTTTCCGGACTTTGAGTACAAGACTTATAATTAACAAGTACAAAACCTTGAAACCCCAAAATATTGTCAATAATTTTATTAAAAATGCTCATTTTTGATTTCTGATCAGGGAGCTAAAAAATCAACTTCCGGTAATGGAATGAAAATCATTCAACCGTTAAATAACTGATTTGGCAATGTAAAATATTTCTTAACTTTTTTGGTACATAGTTATATCCCGTACATAATTTTCACCCCTAAAATTAGGGTGTTGCGTTTCCATTGACGGTGAGTATACATTAATTCATTGAAAATCTTCTTCTCTGCCCCTGGGTAATAGGCAAATAAACTACCTATAAAGTTATGATGTGCAAGGGGCACTTCTGATTATTGCTGAATATTACTGATTAGCTGATATGCATTTTTTTTCCCCTACCCCGCCTATGGGTATTAAGGAGGCTTGGGGGTCAACAAATTAAAAACAAATTAACCACCAGATATAACTTAAATTTTTAGATATCATATCTAAAGCTGTCAACTTTAATTTGACCAAAAAAATTCATACATATCAGTTTTAAAATTTGATTATTTTGGTATATCTTTATATGGAGATCTTCTTGTAAAGGAGATCGAAATAGTCTAAAGATGGCAACGACCACCCAGCCCCTTTAAGTAACCAAACTAAGCAATTACTAAGTTTATAATTTTGATTAGCAATGGTGCCAGCCTTTTTCAAAATTGTGAATGCCATTAGCATCTACCTTAAAACATGAACCAAATTCAATCATTTGAAAGTTATTGCATGATTCTCATGTGACCTATAAGGCCCATGGGCCTCTTGTATAATTTGCACACATTAATTGCATGTTTTATTATATTCACAAATGAAATGAAATAGCCTAGACATAAAGAATAGAATTTCAAAGGCAGTAAACATTACCATTATGCACATTGAGAAGTTAAGACAAATATCAATTATTACATTTTAAGATAACAAACTCAGGAAATCCATGAAAGGGTTCTTCCTCCTACCTCTACTCGCTGAAAAAAAGATTTAGGAAAAATGCATTGCTATATGTATTCAGCCTTATGCCATTGTCAAGAAAAAAACCAAGCCAGGTCCTGTAGGTCAAATCCTTATTTATAATGAAGTGATCCTTTTTGCAATTTAACCCCTGAAAGGTAGCAAATTAATTCTTGCGTTTTCAATTTCTGCGTTTGCACTATATCGCAAAAAATATTTACCGGGCACAGCATAGGATCATCAAACTTTAAGATTTATTACAACAATCCCATGATTACGTTTTGTAAATTCATTCAGACACATGAATGAAAGGTGCATGAGAACAGGTGTTATGCTATTAAACTTGATTAAAGTACTATCTTTTAGTTACTCTTTGTAAAATTATGCCTAATCCCAAATGAAAATAATTATTGTTGTAACAGTACTAGTCCACTCAAACAACAAAATCTTTATTCTAACATGGCAGACGTTAATTTTATGTGATCAATCAAATAATTTAAATAAATATATAGATTATGATAATTAATGCCAGGGTTCTCCACATTTGAAAATTTAACCATGGAGGAAGCTGCGCGAAGGCGAAATGTGGCCGAAAACACTAATGCATCTTAGACTTCCTAATCTTCATTTAATCAATGATTGGATTTTACAATTTTTAAACTTACCTACTGCAATACAAAACAATGAAATAGCTAACACTTTTTAAAGTGAAAAAAATATTAATCAAAATTGAAAAGGATTTATCCTGTATCTACATCACAAATGTACCAAAATTTGCCCAAAACTGTGGTAACCTTCGGAAGGAATTTAAAGAAAAAATGTTGATACAGGTAGCCAGTAACCATGGCATTAGATTACTAATTATAATAATTGTTGCATATAATCAACCACCCTAAAAACCACATGTGTCACATGCATTGAGGCGTTACTAATACTTTCAGTCATCTGATTTGAATGAAATTTACGAGACAATCAAACGGTCTCAAGACAAATCACAGGATTGAAAAGTGGAAAATAAGAAAGAAAAACTGCCATATTTTGTATATACCTATTGGAGTTTCAATGTCACCCAAATTTTCTCACTAAACGAAGACAGTCCACGCACGAGTCTGCAGACGCATCAATTATTATACTTGAATGTATAAAATACCTGGAGTCATATTAAAAATATTTTGCGATTGTATTTTTTGTGGATTTGTTCTATCCGCAAATTCCACAAAAATTGGACAGCCGCAGAAAATACCCTTTATACAGTATATAGGAAAAATCTTTCCACATCTTCTTCTCAAGAACCACTGGGCCAGGAAAGATGAAACTCATGTGGAAGCATCCTCATGTATTGTAAATTCAAGTTTGTTCAAATCATGACCCCTGGGGAGGGGAGGGGCCACAACGGCTGATCAAAGTTTTACATAGGAATATATATGAAAAATCTTTTAAAATCTTCTCCTCCAGAACCATTGGGCCAGTAAAGATGAAACTCATGTGGACGCATCTTTAGGTAGTGTAGATTCAATTTGTTCAAATCATGACCCCCAGGGATAGGGCGGGGCCACAATGACTGATCAAAGTTGTACATAGGAATAAATAGGAAAAATATTTAAAAATCTTCTTCACCAGAACCATTGAGCCAGGAAAGATGAAAATCATGTGAAAGCATCCTCAGGTAGTATAGATTCAAGTTTGTTTAAATCATGACCCCCTGGGATAGGGTGGGACCACAATGGTTGATCAAAGTTTTATGTATTAGGAATATAAAGGAAAATTCTTTAAAAATCTTCTTCTCCGGAACCACTGGGCCAGGAAAAATGAAACTCATGTGGAAGCATCCTCAGGTAGTATAGATTCAAGTTTGTTCAAATCATGACCCCCGGGGATAGGGTGTGGCCACAATGGCTGATCAAAGTCTTACACAGTAATATGTAGGAAAAATCTTTTAAAAATCTTCTCAAAATCAGCAAAGCCATAATTCATGATATTAATATGGAAACATCCTCAGTTAGAGTTAATTCAAGTTTGTTCATATCATGATCCCCTGGGGATAGGGTGGGGCCATATTTGGGAAAAATCTTTAAAAATCTTCTCAAGAACAGCAAAGCCATGCCATGATTGGTGATATTTAAATGGAAGCATCATCAGGTAGTGTAGTTTCAAGACTGTTCAAATCTTGGGGAATGGATGGGAAATGGGGACACAATGTGGGATCAATTTTTGCATAAGAATATATACTAAAATATCTTTTAAAATTTTCTGGAGAATACCTAATCCATGATCAGTGTTTTTTTTTTTGTATGGAACCAATGAAAGCATCCTCAGGTGGTTTAGATTCAGGTTAGTTCAAATTATGACCTCCGGGATTAAGGTATGACCACAATGAGGGATCGAAGTTTTGCATAAGAATATATAGGAAAAAATCTTCTCTAGAACAGAAAAGTTTTGTTTAGTCAAATTGACAAGTAAGCATCTGCATGTAGTGAAGATTTAAATTTATTCAAATAATATCCCTGGAAGGGGGGGAGGGGTTAGTGAGGGGTCACAAGGTGAGATCAAGTAATATGTTGGAAAAATTTTTAAAACTCTTCTTTTTTTAAGTATGGCAATGTTATACATGTATGCTTTATTGATATAGTGACATTTTCATGTAATAAAAAATTCAAACCCACCTCCCCCAACAAGTAAACTTTCAGTAATGAGCTGATTTGTGTTTTTTAATTGGCCCATGTGTTCAGGTGAGTGATGTGGCCCATGGGCCTCTTGTTATGCTTTGTGAGACATGTTTTGATTAATTAAAGATGCTTTATTTTTTCTGCAGGCAGATCAAAATCAAAATTGGGCAAAAATTTCTTTGAAAAGAGATGAAGGTTATGCAGATGTTCCTGTTTCTGATGAATTTATTAAATATTTAGGAGACCTTAGCCATGCTGTAAGGATGCATTCTGCAAAAGCTGTTCAGGGGTAAGATAAATGTTAAAGAAATGTTTCAAGTAATTGTACTAAATTTTGATATACATTGATTGGGAAGAAGAACAGAGTTTGGGATTCTGATGCAAAATGTAAACAAGCAAAGCTGTTAATAAGGCTGTCCATAATGGATTGATTGTATTAAGAAATAAATAACAAGTTTATAAACTTCAATGGGAATTGAAGTGGGTCGGTCACGTGATCAAATCCTGTGAAGGCAGAAGGCCTTCTCAGATGATTTGATCATGTACCGACCCACTTCAATTCCCATTGAAGTTTATAAACTTGTTATTTATTACTTATATATACATTTGAGATGGACAATTTAATATTAAATTAAATATATTCGCATATAAATATTGCACTAACCGGTCGCCATAGGTTTATGCAAGGTGTAAATCAGCTTGAAAGGCCGTTACGCTTCGAATTCGTCAGGCCAAGAATTTTATTTCGAAGGGAATATTTTGTTAAAGGCTACTTGTGATCAGTAAAAGTGAAGAGATTTGTGTCTGGGAATATTTCTATTCGTGAAAATTGATAATTGATGCTGAAAAGACACATGAAACACGTCCGAAGATTGATGAAAAAAGTTGGAGGAATTTCGGTCGCCTGAAAGTGGATGCATGGATTCGATGGATAGAGACACTTGTCCGATCCAGTTAACTTGCAATCAAGTTAAATTTGATCAAAAACATTCAATCCATGATTTCAGTAACTAAAAGCACATTTTTGATGTTAACACGGAGACACTGGCGACAGCTATAACACTGAAGTACGACAGCGCCGATCGAAGCTGTTCGTGGCATGATTGCAATGCATTGATATTTTCCAACAGATTTACACATTCATCGTGAGTACATTTTAATGAAAAAATATAGTTTTAGTCTATATCACAAAGATTTAACTTAACGTCTACCAAAAATGAGGATAAACGTTAGAGACTCACTGTGCAGCTGACAAAAGTGACATACAACTTGTAAACAAACTTTAGCCTCTATCGATATATTCTCTATGTACACAGGTTAAATCGATCGTCAAAAAATGTATGAAGTACTTGTTTACGTTAAAAATAAAACAATAAAATTATTTACTCGCTTATTTTGTTAATTTTTATACATGAAAAGCAAGTCATTTTATATTTATAAGTAACCGTTACGGTAGATATTATTGCGCCTTGTGATTCGGCCATGTATTGACCTCTGACCTCTGACAAACTTCATACAGAATTGAAGATATTTTCTCTCTGTATGTTTATATAATGGAAAGATACCACAAATGTATATATTATTATACGCCCGTCTTAAGACGGGATGTATTATTTTATAGGCTTCGTGTCCGTCCGTCTGTCTGTTAGCTTTTTCGTTTCCGGCTCATAACTTTAATACTACTGGGCCTAGGATTATCAAACTTTGTCATCTGATGCATCTTGGGTAGAAGGTGTGTCGCGCACAAAAAGTAGGTCGCTCTGACCTTTGATTAAGAAGTTATAGCCAAATATGGAAAAATCCTTTCCGGCCCATAACAAGAAAACCATAAGACTTACAATCATCAAACTTGGCCAGTTTATGCATCTTAGGTAGAAGGTGTCGCGACCTATTTCAAGGTCACTGTGACCTTTAATTTAAGTGAAATTTTAAAAAAAAGATGTGTCTTTTTACTATTCATTTACACATCCCAAATAATGTAAGAGTATTGCACTGTCCTTATTAAAAAAATTGTTAAATCAAGAAAATACTTATTTTTTTAAAGCATATACTTGACAGCAATCTATAACAAATATAATGTATGTTAGAGAGATCCTACCTCTCCCATGAGTGTAATTATCAAGCACTGGTCAAGAAGAATTTTGATAACAGAAAATTGCATGTCAAATTAGAGAGAAATTAATGGGTTTTGAGTGCGAGGAGCTAACTGACAGAGCATTGGTGTTATCTATATCCCTTGAGTATTGGGCAAATGGGTAAGCCTGTTTGATTGAAAATAGGCTATAGCTCTTGTTGACTAGCTTAAGTTTTAAAATGAATTTGATGAAAAGTAATTAAAACTAATTTGATATTGCATTATAGACTAATCTGATATTATGTAATATTATTAATTTAAAAACTAATTTTATGGGGTGGGGTGGAATCAGCATATCCATATGAATTACATATTAAAACCTGTCGGAAATTAAATCTCAACCAAAAAAAAAAATCTTTGAGTATTTTATATGTTTTTAAAAAAAATTATAGTAGGTAGTGCAGACCCTTCATCTCTTGGTAGTAATGAGTAGACAAGCATCCAGTTAAAGATTAATTAATGAGTTCAATGTAGGAAGGCTAGCTGTCTCAGTCGCTATGATTAATGCCTAGGTCACATTTCCCGGCCGGTAGCCGTAGACCGGTGGTAATCGGTGGTAATCCGTGGTGTTAGCGATGCCCCAACATCGGTCCACATCGGCCGAGTAGTCCTTAAAGTATCAGTCACATTATCCAGCGATGGGTATACGATGGGCAACCAATGCGTTTTATGATAAAAATGACGTGGTTGCCGGCCAGACTTACAAAGGCCTAGCGATGCATTGCTAATCAAAAAACGATGTTCCAGGATAATCGGCCGATGTATATTACATCGCTCATACATTGGTGAACATCGTTCGTACATCGGTCGACTACGGGCCAATGTTAGGTCGAACATCGACCGGTGATCGGCAGTTATCTGTTGAACACCACTCAACCCCCTGATGACCTCTGATTCAACGGATTTTGGACGATGCTCGGCCATACATCGGCCGATCCTTGAAAGATGTGTTAATGATGGGTTACCGATGAGGAGCGTTGTGAGGCATCGTTGGAGACATCGCTGAATTTTAACTACGAATTATGTCCTACCGATGACCCTACCGATTCGCAAAATGGCCTCAGTCACCGTCCGATCACTAGTGGTGCCCGGCTGGCAACCACGCCATTTTCATCAAAAAACGCATCGGTTTCTCATCGTATACCCCATCGCTGGATAATGTGACTGATACTTAAGCAGTCTTATCTGTACCCTTTGGGGATTAGACAGAAGAAATGCTGTTCAGTTTATAACATATGTCATTTGATGGCCAGCCTTTTCTTTTCAAAATTAATTTAGTATAGATTAAGTTGTTAAGACTAATTTGATGATGGGCATTTGACAAGGCCTAACACAACCAGCACAGAAATCTATCAGTGATGTAATATTTATTATAATTGATGCCTACATCACAGGGGATGGATAAATATTTTAAGGAATGGAAAAATCATCGAAATCTTAGAATCAAGGTTGATGTGATTTTCTTGCACCTAAACTGTTCAAGAAAATTGTAATTCTTTTGACGGGCGTATAATGCTGTGGCATGGCACTTTATTGTTTAACGTCCCATTCAAGAATTTTTCACTCATACAGGGACGTCAACATATGCCAGTGAAGGGCTTCTTTAGACCTATACTCGGCACTCAGGGCCATTGAGCAGTGAGGGTTCTTTATCATGCCAGCACCTAATGTGACACCAGACCTATGTTTTTAAGGTCATATCCGAATGATCTGTGACTTTCACTTCTAATGCCGAGCGCTTGGCGAAGGAACAGTCACTACCTATGTTTACGTCTAAGGTTTGATGCGGCACCGCGAACGAGAATCGAACACCCCTCTTGATCACGATGCAAACGCTCTACCACTAGGCTACCATGACCTGTTTAAGGCTGTCCAAAGTTAATTCTGTGGAAAATGTTCAAGTAATTGTTCTAAATTTTAATATACATTGATTGGGAAAAAAGCGAGTTTGGGATTCTGATGCAAAATGTAAACAAGCAAAGCTGTTAATAAAGCTGTAGTATTGTAAGGTCTAGTATTTCATTATACATGTATACATAGTTTGCTGCATGAAAATGCTTCAACTTGTTGGAAGACTTGACATCTCTACACAGGGATCGAAATTAACTTTTTTAACAACAGGCTAATTTTAGCCTGTACATATAAAAATCTACAGGTTAAAATGAAGATCTACAAGCTAAAATTAAAAGAAGGATTAAATGTCTTTTTCATGCTCATTTAAATCAAGAATAATACAGGGCCTTCTATAGTAGGTAAGTACAGAATTAAGATCATCAATGTTTTTACATTAAAAAATGGTAATATGGCCTAAAAAAAATAACATTAAAATATATTTATTTCCTGTAACATTCCCCCCCCCCAAAAAAAAAATCAATTTGATCAAGGGTCGGTAGGTTGGGATTTTTTGCTACTGAAAAATGGGGTCAAACATCCCGGACATAATTAACCAGGAGTGATATTTACAGCGGGCACCTAACATGGCAGTCTAGCTGCAGAAAACGCACTTCAAAAAGTTATGGGAGAAATTATAATAATGATTACTCTTTTTATCTAAGTTAAATTTGGACAAGGTTGACACATTTTTTATGTCAAATAAAATTACAATGAAAAATTTTTAGCTCACCTGGGCTGAAAGCTCAAGTGAGCTTTTCTGATCACATTTTGTCCGGCTCCGTCTAGCTGTCCGTCTGTCTGTAAACTTTTCACATTTTCGATTTATTCTGAAGAACCGCTGGGTCAATTTCAACCAAACTTGCCACAAAGTATCCTCGGGTAAAGGGGATTCAAGTTTGTTCAAATGAAGGGCCACGCCCTCATTCAAGGGGAGATAATTGGGAATAAATGAAAATTTGCTGGCATATTTTAAAAATCTTCTTATCAAGAACCACTGTGCCACGAAAGATGAAACTTATGGAGGAACATCCTCAGGTAGTGTAAATTCAAATTTGTTCAAATCATGACCCCCGGGGGTAGGGTGGGGCCAAAATGGCCGACCAAAGTTTTACATAGAAATATATAGGAAAATTCTTTAAAAATCTTCTTCTCAAGAATGACAAAGCCATAATTCATCATATTTATATGGAAGCATGCTCAGGTAGTGTAGATTCAAGTTTGTTCAAATCATGACCCCCGGGGGTAGGGCGGGGCCAAAATGGCCGACCAAAGTTTTACATAGAAATATATAGGAAAGTTCTTTAAAAATCTTCTTCTCAAGAATGACAAAGCCATAATTCATCATATTTATATGGAAGCATGCTCAGCTAATGTAGATTCAAGTTTGTTCAAATCATGACCCCCGGGGGTAGGGCGGGGCCAAAATGGCCGACCAAAGTTTTACATAGATATATATAGGAAAATTCTTTAAAAATCTTCTTCTCAAGAATGACAGAGCCATAATTCATCATATTTATATGGAAGCATGTACAGGTAGTGTAGATTCAAGTTTGTTCAAATCATGACACCCGGGTGTAGGGCGGGGCCAAAATGGCCGACCAAAGTTTTACATAGAAATAAATAGGAAAATTCTTTAAAAAAATTTTTTCCGCAAGAATAGCAAAGCCATAATTCATCATATATATATGGAAGCATGCTCAGGTAGTTTAGTTTCAAGTTTGTTCAAATCATGACCCCCGGGGGTAGGGCGGGGCCAAAATGGCCGACCAAAGTTTTACATAGAAATATATAGGAAAGTTCTTTAAAAATCTTCTCCTCAAGAATGACAAAGCCATAATTCATCATATTTATATGGAAGCATGCTCAGCTAATGTAGATTCAAGTTTGTTCAAATCATGACCCCCGGGGGTAGGGCGGGGCCAAAATGGCCGACCAAAGTTTTACATAGAAATAAATAGGAAAATTCTTTAAAAAAATTTTTTCCGCAAGAATAGCAAAGCCATAATTCATCATATATATATGGAAGCATGCTCAGGTAGTTTAGTTTCAAGTTTGTTCAAATCATGACCCCCGGGGGTAGGGCGGGGCCAAAATGGCCGACCAAAGTTAGATAGAGATAGTGAAAATTTGGTGGTATGTTTTACCACCAACTACCTTCTTCTCAAGAACCACTGTGCCAGGAAAGATGAAACTTAAATGGAAGCATCCTCAGGTAGTTTAGACTCAAGTTTGTTCAAATCATGACCTCCAGGGGTAGGGCAGGGCCACAATGGTCGATCAAAGTTTTACATAGAAATATATAGGAAAAATCCTTAAAACTCTTCTCAAGAAAAGCAAAGGCATGAATGATCATATATATATATGAGCATCCTCGGGTAGTGTAGATTCAGATTTGTTCAAATCATGACCCCCAAGGGTAGGGAGGGGCCACAATGGCTGATCAAAGTTTTACATAGAAATATATAGGAATATACTTTAAAAAATCTTCTTCTCAATAACCACTGTGCCTGGAAAGATGAAACTTATATGGAAGCATCCTCAGGTAGTGTAGATTTAATTTTGTTCAAATCATGACCCCCTTGGGTAGGGCGGGGCCACACTGGCCGATCAAAGTTCTTCATCTCAAGAATAGCAAAGCCATGATTAGTCATATTTATATGGAAGCATCTTTAGTTAGTGTAGATTCAATTTTTTTCAAATCACGACCCCTGGGGGGTAGGGCGGGGCCACACATTGAATCCAAGTTTTATATAGAAATATGTTGAAAAATTCTTTAAAAATCTTCTTTTCATGAATCGCAAAGCCATGAGTAGTCATATTTATATGGAAGTATTCTCATGTAGTGTAGATTCAAGTTTGTTCAGATCATACCCTCTGCCCTTTAAGGATTGGTTGGAACCACTTTTGGGTTAAAACTTTTCAATAATAAACTGATTTCTGCTTTTTTTTTAAGCTACAGTGCTCAGGTGAGCGATATGGCCCATGGGCCTCTTGTTGTTACTGAAATAGTTGACCATATCTATGTCAATCTTAGTTTATGGATAAAGTTTTGCTTTTGTATGTTGTATCACATGTTCTTAAATAACTCTTTGCAGACTTTTCATGTGTAACGGTATACCGTGTGAAAGAGTGACCCAAGATCATCATTTTGATGCTATATACAGTGAAATAATGGAGTTATTAGATCTACAGGTAAATCTTTAAAAGCATTACTTAGTTTCTTTGCTTGGGTTTGCACCATTGTCAACTGTTAGGAAGGGAAAAATATAATTAAAGTGAGCTTTAGAGCTAATAAGCCTCTTGTTTGCATTCTAGGATAACTGGTCTCTTGTTTGCTTTGTAGGATAACTTGTCCCCTGAGAGAGCTATGGATGAGAAGAACAACAGAGTTGGCTCTGCCCTCACATGTCTGGCTTACATAGTGTGTGCCAGTCCAGTCTGCGAAAAGAAGGCACTGTTTGCTTTCTGTCAGTTGACCAAGGCCAGAGGCGTACAGACAGAAAAAATCAAACTGGTATTGCAAAATGATTTTGCTCTCGCATTATTAACTAGGGCTAATTGTAATGGGAACCGTTACAGATGTTCCCCAAATGCTCCCCAACTCCCTTTTGGTGCCATATTCCTTTGAAGCTTCATTAAATAAGACAACCTCTATGCATTTTAGACTTTAACAATGTTTTCCCAGAAGTATACGAAGTATATTCAGATTTTGGCATTGCACGCGTGCGCATGTGAATCCATGTGCATAATGACCAAATCATCTTGTCGACACTATTTATATATTTTAATATACTAAATATTAAAGCATTTAATCCAAAAGTACTAGAAAATATGCTTAATCAAGTGTATTTGTAATTTTACTCCTTTCACATGCACGCACGTGCATGCATGTGCATGACGACCATACATTCTTGTAGGAATCCATTATGTCTATCTATGTTCTAAATCCCATCCTGTTTAGTTGAAAACCAAGGAAGTTATAGCGTTTTCAAGTGTAGGCCAATCAGATTGCAGCACAAGTGCATATGTGTGTTTTCATGATAATTGTTAAATATTATATTGTAAGATACCCTAATGCATGACTATGATTTAAATTTCATAGAAATATTAAAGTATTTAATCCAAAAGTATTAGAAAATATGCTTAATCAAGTGTATTTGTAATTTTACTCCTTTCATGTGCACGCACGTGCATGCATGTGCACAATAAACAACCATACTTGTAGGAATCCATTATGTTTATCAATGTACTAAATCCCATCCTGTTTGGTTGAAAACCAAGGAAGTTATAGCCTTTTCTAGTTTAAGCCAATCAGATTACAGCGCACATGCATGCGCGTGCTTTCATGATAATTGCTATATATTATATTATAGGATATCCTAATTCATGATTATATTCTAAATTTCAAAGCATTTCGTTGAAAAACAAAAAAGATATTGAGATTTTTAGGTCACCTGAGTAAACTCAGGTGACCTATTGCTATCCGTTTTCGTCTGTTGTCGTTCGTCGTATGTCGTACGTCGTTTGTAAACTTTTAAACATTTTCAGCTTCTTCTCTGCAACCACTGAACCAATTTCAACCAAATTTGGCACAAAGCATCTATGGGTGAAGGGGAACAAAAGTGAATTTCATGATCCCTGCCCCCCTGGGGCCTGAGGGGTGGGTCCAAAACCACTAAAATTAATGCAATCTTTAAAAATCTTCTTCTTTACTCCTGGACGTCAGAGGTTCTAGTGCTAGGGCAGGGCTAAATAAGTATATAGTGAAAATGCATTATTTCTTTGAAAATCTTCTCTGCTCCTGGGTATTAAATAAACCAACTAAGTAGATAGTTATGATGAGCAAGAGTGCCTCTACCAAAATTTAGAATTTTATGGCCCCAGGGTCAGGGGTTCTGGTGTTAGGTTGGGGCTCCATTGATTATATACATTGAAAATACATGATTTCTTTGAAAATCTTCTTCTCTGCCCCTGGGTATTAAATAAACTAATTAAGTGCATAAGTATGATGAGCAAGAGTGCCTCTATCAAAATTGTGAATTTTATGGCCCCAGGGTCAAGGGTTCTGGTGTTGGAGGGGGGGCTCTATAGATTATATAGTAAAAATACATGAATTCTTTGAAAATCTTCTTCTCTGCTCCTAGATATTAAATAAACTAACTAAGTGCATAGTTATAATGAGCAAGAGTGCCTCTACCAAAATTTTCAATTTTATGGCCCCAGGGTCAAGAGTTCTGGTGTTAGGGGGGGGGGGGCTCTATTGATTATATAGTGAAAATACACGAATTCTTTGAAAATCTTCTTCTATGCTCCAAGATATTAAATAAACTAACTAAGTGCATAGTTATGATGAGCAAGAGTGCTTTTACCGAAATTGTGAATTTTGTGGTCCCAGGGTCAAGGGTTCTGGTGTGTGGGGGGGGCTCTATTGATTATATAGTGAAAAGATATTAATTCTTTGAAAATTTTCTTCTCTGCTCCTAGGTATTAAATAAACTAAGTGCATAGTTATGATGAGCAAGAGTGCTTTTACCAAAATCGTGAATTTTATGGTCCCAGGGTCAGGGGTTCTGGTGTTGGGGGGGGGGGGGGGGGGGCTCTATTTATTATATAGTGAAAATACATTAAATCTTTGAAAATTTTCTTCTCTGTCTCTGGGTATGAAGCAGATGAACTACCTATATAGTAGGGATGTCAACGAATATTCGAATATTCGAATATTCATTCGATGAGTTGATATTCGAATATAAATTTAAGATTCGAATATTCGGATTTTCAGTATACAAGCATTTTAAAGATTTAAAAAATCTGACAATTTTTGTCAGAAATTGAATCAAAGTCGTACTGTTGACCAGTAATATGATTTGATTAAAAACAAAATAAAAATACACTCCTCTTGGATTACCTTAAAGGTGTGAAGATTGTATCTATTAAATAATACAAATTATTCATTTGATCATTTAATTAGTGGTATAACAGTGTCCTAGAGTACTTACAATTAGTTCATATTGTTGAAAGGACACATTTTTACAGTAACTATTAATTAGCTAAAAGTAATTGCTTTTTATTTTTCTCCATTAGATAATTGTTCTGCATGGTAAAAATCTGTGGGTGTTACCAGTGTAGACTTTTGTAAGACGATTAATTAATCTTGAAGATACTAAAAGATTCTTTTGAATTTTCAGAAGAAATATATTACATTTTGGATATCAGATTTTCATATATTCTGTAAAATATTTTGAAAATAGAACTACTGTGCATTTACAAAACTTTATATGAATTTTTATTCCAAAATAATGGTATAAAACGTATCCTGCTTTACAAAAGAGTAAAGATGTATACATATTATAATGCAGGATGTATTACTTTCATCGAATATTCGAATATATTCGAATACTACTACCGAATATTCGAATATCAATTATTGACAATTTTGACATCCCTACTATATAGTTATGATGAGCAAGGGCCCTAATCTTGCAGAATTGTGAATTTCAAGGCCCCAGGGTCAGGGGTGGGGGTGGGGCTCTACTTATATACTGAAAATGAATTAATTGTTTGAAATCTGCTCCTATGTATTTATAAAACATTTATTTATTTTTTGATAGGCAATTTTAAGGGTGCCTTTTTAAAATTTGTGCAATGTTTTGGACCTAGGATCAGGGGTTTATTTCACAGTGTTAGGGGCATTACTTATTATTGCTGAATATTACTGATTAGTTGGAATGCATTTTTGTTCCCCTACCTTGCGTATGGGTATTCATTACCCCTGCGAGGTGATCATAAATAATTCATGAATTTCCCTGAATTTTTCATGAATTTTATTCATGAAATGTTCATGAAACGTTCATGAAGATCCTATGAACTTATTATTGGACATTTTCAAATCAATAAACCAAGCTAAGCAACTGCTAAGTGTATTGTTATGATGATCAATGGTGCCTCTTTCAAAATTGTGAATGCCATATAGCATCTGGCTTAAAACATGAATCAAATTCAATAACTGGAAAGTTGTTGCAGAATGCTCAGGTGACCTATAAGGTCCGTTGGCCTCTTGTTGTTTCAGCCAATCAGAACGAAGCGCACATGCATGCGCATGAGTTTGTGCTAATTTGACAGTGTCATATTATCTGCACTATTGATATATCCGTATGTAATGAGTTTTTCAAAACATTTCATTTAAAAAATTTAAAAGTTACGGCGATATTAATTATATCAGTCAATTCACTCATTTCACGCGCACGTATGTGCATGCGTATGTGCGCAAAATGAACTTCGTTCCGCATACCTACACAACACACCTATTAACCCTAGAAAGGTTTTAACTTAGTTTGGTGAACAGTTTATGAGAACACTCGTGGACAAAAAAAGTACAGGAGAACAAATTAAAAAAAAAGAACTAGAAAAGAAACTTGTTGCGAGCAACGAGAGGTCTTTAGTCCAATTCTGTAATAAAAACGTAAAATCAAGAAGAAAAGGTGATTAAAAAAAATTTCAGACACATGGGGGATTGAACCCGGGATGCCAGTGTAAAGATCCAATGCGCAAACCATTACGCCAGCGGGAACCACCACTTCAAATTTAAAAATGCAAATGTCTCAAGGTTGGCTTTTCAATTCTAAATCAAATAACATATTTAGCATTCTCAAACATGTCTTTATTAACCTTTCTAATATGAATGAAAAATTTTAAAAAACAAAAATGTTCAAAAAATTACCCTTTTTCAATCACTTCCTGTGACGACCAGAAGTGGCGACAACACACGAAATGTTTTTATCACACATGGACTAATCAATCTCTATCACACCTTTTAGTTGAAAAAATGAAAATTTGCAATAATTCGTGACCAGAAATGAATTTTTCCAATTTTCTTTCATATTTCAAAATGGCATGACACAACACATCATTCCTGAAAATTTGGCTATATTTCATTGAGTAATTTTTGAGAAATTGCGAGTTGAAAAGGTAAAAAAAATAAAAATGAAAAATAATAATAAGAAACAGTAGAATCACTAGAAGGTCTTCTGTGAAGACGGAAGACCTTGAATAGAATCACTCTAAGGTCTTCCGTGAAGACGGAAGACCTTTATAATAATAACTAGAGCAAAGCTCGTTGCAAACCGGAAGTAACTTATTTCTGATCACATTTTGTCCGTCGTCCGTCTGTCCGTCCATCCGTCTGTCTAGCTGTCCGTCCGTCTGTAAACTTTTCACATTTTCGACTTCTTCTCAAGAACCAACGGGCCAAATTTAACCAAACTTAATACAAAGCATCTTTAGGTGAAGGGGAGTTTAAATTGTTAAAATGAAGGGCCAAGTCCCCTTACAAGGGGAGATAATCAACAAAAGACAAAAATAGGATGGGGTCATTAAAAGATCTTCTTCTCAAGAACCACTGGGCCAGGAAAGCTGAAATATATATGGAAGCATCCTTGGGTAGTGTAGATATTAAATTGTAAAAATCATGACCACGGGGGGTAGGGCGGGGCCACAATAGGGAATCCAAGTTTTACA